CTGCGCAGGACTGTGACGTGATTCTATTCTATTATATATTTTTTTTATAAAAGAGAACGTAGAAAATCGCTACTGATAGATCTCGGTTGCACCTGTTCGGGAAAAATCTGTTCTCGGTCATATATAACGGGCTCGAAAACACTGTTGAGTTCTGCCGAGGTAATCTTTCCTTTTGGACAGCTTTGTGATGCAAGGAGCTCAGTGGCTTAGTGTCGACCGTTTTTGCTTACTGAACAGAAGTTTGTGGGGGCCAGGCCCCTTTAAATTACTAAGTTGATAGGTTCGCATCATTTGCTTATCAAGCCTTGCAAATATCAAATCTTATTCGCGTGAATTTCGGAAAACAAAACATTTTATGAAAACTATGATCTACATCAACTATCAAGCTGAATCCTGATCCAACAAACCCTACCTACTAACAAAATCTTCCTTCCTGTGTCATTTGTGCGGCTCAGAGGTAAACACTGTCCCCAAAACAATAAAGGTCACTCTGATATTACTTCTCCACTCCTACACAGCTGAAAAAAGTAGTGTAAATTTCTGTTACTATGATGCCCATTAATGGAGCGTCATATATCATACAAGTTTAGATTATAGATCGTGTAAATTTATGAGACAATACATGAAATATTCCATATATTGTATGCAACTGTCCACATTTGGTTGCAACATTTCTTGCAAGCTGCTAGTTTACGTGAAAAGGAAGATTACATGTATGAATGTTTGCATGCATGGATGTTTACATCGCCAGTGAAATTCAGAATTTGTTGGTGTGTACTTGATTGCAATAACGTGGTCGGTGTCGTTTTTGATCTTCAATTTATGGAGTCCTGAAACTTGTACAGTGAGAATGAACGGTTACACCCAACCGCATTCAGTTGATTTATTGTGTAATTTAACTGATTCTGATAAATCACGGCAACCATTGTGCAGTAAGTGCAGTTATTTAGTCTATGCTATGTTAAGTCTATTTCATATTCATACATCGTATTAAATTTAATCCTGATAGTAACCCTGATTTTTTTTTTCGAATGCAGTATTTCAGAAAATCCTTAAAAGTCTGTATTGACTTTCCCTTATGCAAATTTACATAAAAGCGTCATTTGTCACCTTGATACTCTGCCGGTACTGGCATATTAGTCCCATATGGAAAATCTTCATATTGATAAAATGACGATTAAAGATATTTGTATAATATGCTGTTTTTTAGCTACATACAATCCAGTACTTATGGTCAAAATAGTTTCATTGCAACATAAATTTATCGTTGGTAACTTGAATACATTCTTAGCAGTGGTCTTTCGTTAAGATATGTGGAATGAAATCAGATGGGGCTCATATGGGAGTACATTTTGAGTCGAGCGTTAAGTACTCGCATAGTAACTATCGCTTATTTTGTTATTTCGAGCGTAATACCATCTTCTGACATAATTGGACTACAGCTGTTCGACTAATATCTAGTGCATCGATTGGGATTCTTTTTGAATCTAGTTCCTCAATCGAGATACTAGATTAAAGGAATACAACGGTAGTACCATCTTGTTTTCAACAGGTGAAGAAAATGGGTTCTTGTTGAACCAATCGACTTATACTCGTCATTTGCATGGATCAAACGAAGCTATAATAGATTGTCAAAGACTCTAGGTATCCGAATCTGCTGCCAAAAAAAAAGGCAACCTTTCTAGCTAGCACTACTAGCATTATACAGCCGCAGAACCAATCTCAAATTTGAAATCTAAAGGGTGATACGGTCAAAATTTGGTCAAGGGAAAACGCGTGTAAATCGGTGAAATCGTTTATTTAAAAAATCAAATTAAATTTCTTTTTCAAGTTCAATTAGTATAAAATTCAGGAAAAATATTCAGTTAGGCTTCCGCTTTTCCAAATTCGAATTGCCGGGCCTTACGCTTGACCCCTGCTATCAGATTTTGTACAGCCACCTTGTCCACCTTCTTCGCCGCAGAAAGCCAGTTTGCCTTGAACTGCTGCTCGCCCTTAGCAGTTTTTTTGGTCTTCTTTAGGTTCCGCTTGACAATAGCCCAGTATTTCTCAATTGGGCGGAGCTCTGGCGTGTTGGGAGGGTTCTTGTCCTTGGGAACCACCTGCACGTTGTTGGCGGCGTACCACTCCATGGCCTTTTTACCGTAATGGCAAGATGCCAAATCCGGCCAAAACAGTACGGAACAACCGTGTTTCTTCAGGAAAGGCAGCAGACGTTTATTCAAACACTCTTTCACGTAAATTTCTTGGTTGACAGTCCCGGAAGCTATGAAAATGCTGCTTTTCAAGCCACAGGTACAGATGGCTTGCCAAACCAGATATTTCTTTGCGAACTTTGACAGTTTCATGTGCTTGAAAACATCTGCTACCTTTCCCCTTCCTTTTGCCGTATAAAACTCCTGTCCCGGAAGCTGCTTGTAGTCGGCTTTGACGTAGGTTTCGTCGTCCATTACCACGCAGTCAAACTTCGTCAGCATCGTCGTGTACAGCCTCCGGGATCGCGCTTTGGCCGTCGTATTTTGTTTATCATCGCGATTTGGAGTCACTACCTTCTTGTAAGTCGATAGTCCGGCTCGTTTTTTGGCTCGATGCACGGTTGTAGACGATACACCCAGCTTATTTGCGGCATCTCGGAGAGAGAGGTTAGGGTTTCGCTTGAAACTACCGGCAACTCTCTTTGTCGTCTCAGCGGCTTCCGGTTTTCGATTTCCCCCCGATCCAGACTTCCTGGCTGTCGACAAACGTTCCCCAAACACTTTAATTACATTTGTAACGGTTGATTTGGCAACTTTTAGCGATTTTGCCAACTTTGCGTGCGAGTAGCTCGGATTTTCGCGATGCGCGAGCAAAATTTTGATACGCTGCTCTTCTTGCTTGGACGGCATTTTGACAACTGAAGAGTGAATTCCAAAATCAAAATAGGAGCAACATTCTACACACACACACCTTCAAAATGAGAGGTGTTCAGGTTTTTTAAATGCAAAATTGAAAGAAATACGTCAAGTTGATATTGACCAAATTTTGACCGTATCACCCTTTATTTACTCAAATTCGAAAATCGTAGATCACTATTTATTATTTTTTCGATATTTGTCAAATATCTGCGTGAAAATGAGGATATAAGAGAAAAAATTAACTCGGTAAACGAGTAAAAATGACTTCGATTTTCTTCATACTAAGGTTTTAGAGTTTTAAGGAAAATCGAGTATATTTACTCAGTCTGTTTTTTTTTTGCTAATTTAAGTCAGATTCAACGGACGAATACATTTGAGTTCAGCGGAAATTATGAGGGGTGTTAGTAAGAAAGTAGATAACTACTATTAGAACGGTTTGGATCGAAGGGAACCGAACTCTATGGTACATTAAAGTGAAATTGAGTTCAAACTTAAGCTTGATGCAAGCGTTGGTCTTGAAGGATCAATTGATATAGAATGAACTGATGAATAGCGATTCCAACTCTAGTATAGTTTTCAAATTCGGAAGTGGTTCGATCAACTGGATCGCTAGAAAGCAGCAATGCGTTAGTTTGCAGTCAATAGATCCAGAGTACGTTTTCCCAGTCCAGTCTCTTCAAGCTATCCTAGTTTTTGAAGAGCTAAGGCACGGCATCGGTCTTGTCAGGAGCTCACTGACCCAGTGGCGATGCACGATACTCGGTTCAACTTTGAGCGAGAGCTGGTGTAATAGAAGTTGAGTGCTGTAAGACGTAGTTATTGAGTAGTTATTGAACAGCCCCTAATGAGGATTGATTGCATGCTCCAAATGTAGTCAATAGGCTTATTTTCTGAACTAGTTAGTTTGGTCGATTAGTTTTCTTTATCATGGTTATTAAATTAATGGTTTACGAAAAGAATTAAATGTCTACAAAGCTACTTGCTGCATATCTGAATCTTTCAAATAACATACGCAGACTTTGCTCGTTAATTTATCATGTTCACGTTTTGTCATTTCTGTAAACATCCCACGCAACGCCTACACCCATGCACCCATTGAAGCAGATAGAATAATAATGATCGATAGATCCCATACAACAGAAATGTCCATGCTCGCATCCATAATCACACAGGGGACATCAGTCACATTTACATCAGCTGCGTGACAAGATTTGAAAATCTTCTTCGCTTTTGACGTGCATGCATGCCAAATAAGCTCTCATTCTACTGTCGTCTATCTGTCCATCTCTTCCATCTATTAGATTTCCAAATGCGACACACGATCGATCGAATGGGGCATTTCTTCAAAAAGGCTCAACGATATCATGACTGCAGGCCATTTGCTACTGTTTCGCTTGTTACTTATTTACCAGGCAATATTAAATCCTAATAATCGTACGGCATGTTCTTACTTTTTGCCATGTTTTCGAGCACACCCACCGCCGCCGTCCGGCAGATCGAAGCGATACCGTTATTGCACAGTTTTTGCTCCTAGGCTTGACTGCAAAAAGTTAAAGGAAAACAAAAAAAAATCAAGGCCTCGTATTCAAGCTTCAGTTATGAAATCGATAATCGACCGGCGGCAATGGGAGCATAATCACCACAGCGATATCAATCTGAAATACCGACGACGTTCAATGAGAGATGGTAAATGGAGTAGATTCGAAACGATTTGACGTTGGTAGCTCTACAATAGGAGATGGTGTTTTCAATATTTATAAGCAACTTTGAATCGCGCGGACAAGAAGGTCAAACGGCAGTGGCTCTTTACACGCTCACCCCAACTCTGACAGGTGACTTGCCGGGTAGACGGGGGTTTTATTTTTAGTACTTGGACTGTGGGCTTCATTCTTTTGTTATTATGTATTTGTTTTCTATTTTCGGTTGGTTTTTGTTTTACGCTCTATGCTAATCGGATGGTGGTTTTGTTATGATTTTTATTCGGATGTTTTGCTTTATTTTGATTTCTATAGTTTTTTCTTTGTTTACAATTTCTTTCGTATAAGTTGTTCCTTTGATTTATAGACAGCAACCATAATCAGTAATTTATCTCATTTGGATTTGCAGGTGGCCCAAGTCTAGTACTGACTAAGAACCAAGAACACACGTACTCAAGTCCCGGCACAGTCGTGTCCGTCGTGGGGTGCAAAGATAAGACAGACAAAACGCAATGCGAAAGTAGTATAGGACTAGAACTTGAGCCAATTGGTAAGACCGTTCAAAATTCATCTCGGTGATTGAAAGCCGATCGGTGGCGCGTAAAGGGTGCCTGCGAGAGAAAACTTTTGGCGGAATATGAGACACGCGTGACGACATCGCGGGGGACGCGTGACATGCAGAGTGGACGAATCACGACCATGACTAGAGAGATTTCCATGCTTAGCACTAGAAGATTTGAACACCGCTTTCGAACAATGGACCACCGGTGCTAGCAATTTAAGATTGAATCGAGAAATGGTTGGCGACCTGGTAGAATAGGATAGTATTGGTAACGTTTTTGTTACGCAGTCAAGAGTGAGGGCAAAAAATTGATCAGCAATCATCATCATCATGCTGGAAGAAGAGCTTGAGATTGCGTTGAAGGTGATTGTGGTTGGGAATGGAGGCGTCGGAAAGACATCAATGGTACAACGGTACTGTAAGGGGATCTATACAAAGGATTACAAAAAAACGATTGGAGTGGACTTTCTTGAGCGACAGATCGAGCTCGATGGTGAAGATATCCGTATCATGCTGTGGGATACGGCTGGACAGGAGGAGTTCGACGCAATTACGAAGGCATATTACCGGGGAGCGCAGGCTTGCGTATTAACCTTCAGCACAACGGATCGAGCGTCGTTCGAGGCGATTCGTGATTGGAAGGTGAAGGTGGAAAACGAATGCAGTGAAATACCGACCGTGCTAGTCCAGAATAAAATCGACCTCATGGATAAGGCCATAGTGTCTTTCGATGAGGCAGAAGCGTTAGCTCAATCGCTCGGATGCCGGCTGATACGGACTTCAGTGAAGGAGGATGTCAACGTGGCCAGTGTGTTCCGCTATCTAGCGAATAAGTGCCACCAACATATGAAGCAACAGTACAGTGCCTCGACACCGATCATGCAACCAACGATCAGTGCATTTAGTCCCACTTTCCAGTCGAAAGCCACCAGCAACACCATACAACTAACAAGGCCATCCGTTAAGCGAAAACCACTGCAGAAAAGGTGTGGCATTTTTTAAAAACGCGCAGGGAGTTCAGACAGCCAGAGAGTAGAGGGCTTAGCAACGACAGAGGTGATGATGGTGATGATGATAGCAATTGTTTATTTATCTGCGTGCTCGTCTCTTCTCTGCCTCTGCCTGAGAGAAAAGAGGACTCGGGTGCTCTCTTGTTAATAATTGTTAAATTGCATGCCTGGAACAAGCGGAGAAATTGTTAGTAATTGGTAGTATTTTTGTGTACTTGTACTATTATTTTTTTTTAATTCTAAGTGGAGCTGAAGCTCGAGGTACAGTAGGGGTAGTTATCAAAGTTAGCTAGGATTTATATGAAATTTGTGCCGCTCAACGAATCTTATCAAAGATGTAATTGTAAGTGACTTGATATACAAAAAGAAAGATGTGTGAAAATGTGGAAAGAGCTTAGCGAAAAGTTTATACATTCGGAATGTGGATCGTTCGATGTTGGCTAGAGGCAAGGAACGGAAACTTTAAACATGCATTGTTTGTAACTAATTGACCATCCAGTGCAGCCTTTTCTCTCAGCTTCTTCTGTTTTTAATCCATTGTTCATAATTAGATCTTTAAATGTATGGTTATTTATCTGAATTCAAATCATAGTTAGATATTCTTCTCAAGCCTTTGGTTGGCTTCAAAATGTTTGCTATACAAATTTTCGATACATCCCTTGAGTCGAAATCTCAGCGGAACGATCAATTTTTTTTTACGATTCCATCATGACCAATCAAATACTCGATTCGAAAAGATCTTGAAATTACTCTGGAACTTTGTCCACTGCCAATCGGAAAGGATTGCGTACCAAGGCCAGGTGTTGTTCTCTGATACCAGGCAATATTATTCAAATTTGACTTGAAGTGCTGACAAATGCTGTGAAATTTCACTTTTGATGCTCATTGGGACTGCTTTACCATCGGTTTTGAACTCATTGAGGCTGCTTTTTCATCAATTATTGATGAAAGTCTGTCAAACATTGCAAGGTATATCGATGTTGGGTTGTCTGCCTTGAAGATTTAATTTCAGTGTGTTATGCTAATCAAACAAATCTGCCAAATAAAGTAACTGCATGGTCCAATGGGGATTACTCACGATGACAAAATGATCTGTTTTTTTTTCTTGGAACTCAAGAAAAGATTTTACTTCAGTTATTATTTTGAATATTCGATCACTAGACAGTCGGAAACAGTCGAAAAATTGTAAGGGTGAGAAAATGCCAAGTTGCCTTGCCAAGGACTTCTTCTCGTACCATAAAGTAAATGGAGGGAAGAAATAGATCATGAACTTGCTGAAAACTTTAAGCGATGAACACTGTTCATTGAACAGGGTGGCAAGTGAACCAGAAAAACCAGGAAAACTGGAAAAACCAGGAATTCCATAAGTTCACCAGGAAAATAATCTTGTTTGTATAATTTAAATAGGTTTTAAATTTTATGTTTGTCAAAGTTTCTTTTTATAATCAGGTCAACACTAACAATTTTGTTCAAGCTAAATCTTTCACACAACTAATCATTGATGAACAAAATTTACCATAAGAATTTAGTAAATATATTTTGTATTTATTTTTAATTTAATTTTTTATCGAATCAATTGCATGTATGATTTGTGCTTAATTGATAGCAGACTTAAGCAGTGCCGACGCTTAACTACTTTGAAGTACGTGTTCAACATGTTCAATAAAAAGTTTTATTTCTAAAAACTTCATATAAGTATGCAAATTCAATTTCAAATTTGGGAAAGTCTTACAAGTTTCAGGAAAATCATGTGAACTATTGTGATGACCTACGACGGTCAGGAAATCTCTCCGAACCTTCAGAGAAGTTCTACAAATTTCAGAGAAGTCTTACGAACTTCACGGAAGTCCTTTAATTTTTCGAATTTTACAGAATTTTCTATAGATTTAATGTAACTTCTACGAAATTCAGGTATTGCTTAAAACTTAAGGATAATCCTATAACACTTATGGATTTTTTCCGAGCTTCAGAGATGTCTTCAATACTCTTGGGAAGTCCTCTGAACTTAACATAGTTCTCCAAGCTCAAAAAAGTTCCTAGAACTTCCGAAAACTCGATTGAGCTACAGGTAGTCCTACGAAATTCATTATAGCTCTCCAAACTTCAGGAAATTTCCAAGAAATTAAGGAAAGACCCACAAACTTTTGGAAAAACCCTTCGATATTTAAAGCCTTATGAACTTCAGGGAAGCTCTTCTAAATTTAGGGTTCTCATGTATTCAGTTAAGTCCTTCAAACTTCAGGGAAGTCCTCAGATCTTCGAGAAAGTTCTTCGAACTTGAAGGAAGTCTTAAGAACTTCGTGGTACTTCTACGATAATTAAGAAATTCCTATGGATTTAAAAAAAACTCCGAACTTCAGGGAAGTCCTAAGATCTTAAAAAAGTCCTTCGAACTTCGGGGAAGTCCCATGAAATTCAGGCAATACAAATTTTAATGAACCATTCAGGAAAGACCTTAACGCTTCAGGGAAGTTCTACGAACTTTAGGGAGTTTCTATGAACTTCAGCAGTCTGTCTTTTTAATAATAAGAGTAAGTAAACCAGCGTTGTTTATGAAATCTTTTAATCATATGATTTTGAAATCATGCTGCAATCAATATTCCACTAAATAAGATCCTTAATCGTTGACAATTTGCGGAAAATTTAAACAAATTGGAAATCCGTGAAATTTTTAGAAGCAAAGGTTTGTTTAAAGAGTCCTCATTCATATCACACTTCGCAATTTCACCTTGAGATAAACTAGCCCGTTGGCTAAAAATCTCTATAATAAAGTTAAAAAATTGCAGTTTCAAAAACAGAAATCTCAAGGTTTAGGGGATCTCTAAATTTCAGACATTAGATAGGGCTCCGCGCTAGTCCGTCGTATCTCAGCTTTTCTTCGTCATACACCTCTAAAATCGCTCATTTTACGGGTTATCGCTAATGTTTCAGTGTCAATCGTAATACGTCTTGTAAGCAAAGATGTTTTTGCAAAAACATGAGTGAAAACGCTTTGCTATTATAGTTTTAGCACATAGAACGGAAATAGGCGCCATGATACGACGAAGTAGCGCGGCTCCCTACTAGTTTCTTTACAGCAAACAATCAGATAAAGATTTCACGGGCATTCACAAGAACCTTAATACCTATTTTGGTTTGTGAAATTCCGCATTGCGCGAAGAATGATGGTACAAGGATTCACTTTATTTTTTGTTATTAATTTTTTTAATGCATGGTTTTTGAAACCAGGAATTTTTTAAATCATTGACCAGGAAAACCAGGAAAAAACAGTAATTTCAAAATGGAAATTCACTTACCACCCTGAAGCAAGCCTTTTCTTGTAGATTTTAATCGAGATAGTTGCAGTTTCCTTCTCATATTGCTATCAATCATAGTTAACATCCCGGTTCAGCTTGAGCTGTTTTTAGATAAATGAGACACGGTTTTTTTGGTAACATACGATTTCTGTCTTTTTTGCATTCTTTAAAATGTCTCGAATGCTTTATTCAATTTAAGATTGTACTGGACCACTCTTCATGGATCAGAAGTCCATGTGGTATTTCATGAAAAATTGTCCAGAAAGCACAGTACATTATCTTAGGAAAGTAACAGCTGATGAAATCGTGTTGCCAAAAACGGGTAGGCCTGTACCTGGAATGTTTATGAAAATTATTGAAGCAGGGATTTGATTGTCTTCATTGAGTCGACACCCTGCAAGATTTTGCGTTAATTTACACGATATATCATGTAAGGTAAAGTAGAACAAAATGAGTCATCTACTTGATTTATTTAATTTTTGTTTACCGACATCAATTAGGTCAATGTAGCCCTAATGCTGCACAGAAAAAAAATCTGAATTTTAACTATCGCGTAAAATCTCCTGCCGTTTTATTTTAAGCTATAGTTGGCATAAACAACGAAATTGCTTACAAACTTGTATACAGCATTGTATATGAAAATGACTCATTGAACCAGATTGTTTTGCGCACTGATCCGGACACAGTTCACACAGTTCTGATCCGGACACAGAAGTTCAACGGAAGAATCTCTCCAAGTTCATTAGATAAAAGTCTAGAGAACTGCCGTTAAATCACTAGAGTGATGAGTACCAGTTTAAGGACTTTGCATGATCTTCTTGGACATATTCGGAGGACTTCATTGGCAGGGAATCTCCAAGACAAATTTTAATGTCCAGGATGGTAGGTTTGCAGAGTTTAAAAAATAATCTTGGATTTAAGTCCAAAACACTTCCACGAAAAGAACTTCCTAGGGTCTTTTTGGCCAAAACTCAGAACTTTGGGGGCAATCCACAGAAAAGGTGCAGAGAATGTTAAATTGGTTAAATTGAAACACAAACTTCTCTAAACTTGATCTAACACGGAAAGATCTGCGCTCCTGCCATCAAAATCCTTTGATGTTTTCCGAAGTTTCATAATTACTAACTGGATATGTCCCTGAGTGCTTTGCTAGTTCCCAAGGTCTCGTAGTTCTTGTCGTGGCAACCAAAATATGATGCGTTTCTTCTCTCCAGAAAACCTGTCCCTACTGAGACTCTACGCCGGCCCTCAACTTAGTGTTCTAGATTCACTTCCACAGTTGTTTATTGAGAGCATTCTAAGCCTGGACCATTTTTGCATCAGTATACTGCCGATACTCGCATAATTGTCCCATCTTTGCTTGATTTCCTATTCATATGGGACAGTTATGCTTTTATGGGCAGTATAATTGTGTTACAAATACAATCATACTCTATGCCCAGGGAAGTTGAGAAATTTTTCAACCCGAACAATTCCTAGACCGAACCGGGAATCGAACCCAACTCCTACAGTATGGTCTTGCTTTATAACTGCGAGGCCCCAGTTAGTATTATATAAGTGCAAATTTGAGCAGCGAACAAATTTTTGTAAAGCTTTACACTAACTCAACCTTCCCTCCATTTTTAAATAAAAATTGGAATGAACACATCTATTAAAAGGTCAAGGATCGATTCCGCTGAGGACTTGAAACTCAATTTACGGAAAAGTATTTCTAGCATTTTATTCTGTTTAATTAATTTGTTAATTCATCAATTTTGTTTTGATAAATCATTTTTTCCGTAGAATGCAAAACAGTGTTTGAATTTTTTTTTTTTTTTAATGAGATCTTACTGCTGTTATATTTAAACTACCGTTTTATGTCGTGTAAAAATTGAGGTAATTTTGAACAACTAAGTTTTTGGGTTGCAAACCAAAATACCTAACTTAAGAAAACATGGCATTTTTACAGTACAGAGAAACCTGAACCCTAAAGTGCGTGAGGAATTTTTAGCTTTTTTCCACACCGTGTTATTTAAATGGGAGCTGGTGACCCGGTATATCGATCAAACTGACGAAGATGCATCAAAACATCAATGAACAAACAGCCAGTTTTTGTCAGTTCCAAATCTAAGCCTCCCTCGCATCTACGATCTTCAGTTACAACAACTAACTAACGCACATTCACCACTGACTGACTAATCGCACGCCGAGAAGGCATCTGTAGAAAGCCAGGCAGCAATCAACTATAGCAACATTGTATGTAACAATTTC